GGGCGTCCTCTGTGACAGCGACACTCCCTCCCACCAGCTCTGAGCCGGGATCAGGGTCTGGGCTTCCTGCCCCCGGGCTGTGAGCGCTGTCCTGCCGCCCGATGGGCATGTTTAAGACCGTGGTCTCAGGTTCCGTTAGTCTCCCGGGGATTCTGTTGGTGGAGGGAGGCAGCGGCCCCCGCTTTGCCGCGGTGACTTTGAAAGCCCTTGCTCTGCTGGTGCAGGACAGTGGTGGTGGCCCAGAGAGCAGCAGCCGCCCCTCCCCTCCGTGCGCTGTGTGGTCCCAGTCCCTCTCTGCCCCGCCCCACCGGCCAGTGTGGAGGGGCGCCCCTCCCCCCCCGGGCTTTTAAGAACGCCGTGCACACATCCCAGAGATGGACCTGAGTCCCCGCGCTCACTTGTACACGTGTCTGGTGATTCCTAAGTGGGGAGCAAGGCTGCACGCGCTCCCGGAGCTCCCTGCACATCTTCTCCCTGATTCCACAGGGACGTCCTGGAGGAGCCGGCGGAGGAGGAGCTGATGGAGAAGCTGAGCCATCACCCGCACCTGCCTCTGTGCAGGTGACGCCCAGGTGACGCCCAGGTGCCCCGTCCCGTGTGGCCTCGGCACCCACGACCGTTGTGGGAGGAGGCGGCTGCAGCCCGGAAGGAGTGACGTCCCCCTGGACGGATGGACAGACGGACAGACGGACCTACTGCAGCCGCCTGAGGCTGGGGCAGAGAGCGCGGGCCCTGGGTCGCCGCTGAGCCGAACCACTGACTACCACCAGCTTTTCTTTGCAGCGGGGGGCCCTGTGCTCTCCGTGGCATCTGGGCCACACCACTCTCTCTCTAAGCTGCTTCGGGGAGGCCTCTGAACTGGAAGAGCGCGGCTCCACGGGGACCTGCAAGACCGCCGGAGAAGCAGGAAGCCGCGGCCTGCCTTTCGGGCCCTGTGATTTCCATGGTGCCTTCACTGCTGGCGGCCTTCAGGGGCCAGAGGCCCACCCGGGGCCTGCACAGGCCAAGCGGCAGCTTTCCAGGGCATTAAGTGTGGGATCCTGGTGATTTTACAGGAGGAGGATTTTAACTGTTCTATTATTTTATGGCTTGTGTGCGTGTGATTGCGTGTATTTCTTTATGGGTCAGAATGGCAATGATTTTTATCCTGAAGTCTTGCAAAGAATGAGGTCGTCATTCTTACTGAGACACAACTCCGGCTTCTCTGGAGCAGGGTGACCAGGTAAGGTTGTTCAGGTTGTGCACTGCAAACCTGGCTGCACGGGCATGTCCAGCCACCAGGCCGTCGCCCCAAGGTGAGGGCTGTCTTTTTCTAATTTGCATAAAGGCCCGTATGAGCCGGTGGTGGCTCTCCTTTATGTGTTCACGGGATGTGTGGCAGAGGAGTCTAGTAGGTCGGGGGGGAGGGAACGTGAGTAATGTGTGCCGGCCACATTGCCCCTTGAGCCACTGTGGGTCCAGATTAACGTGGTTTTCTCATTTCAAGGGCCAACTCGAGTGGTGGGTGGGAGCTCCTGGAGGTCTCTGTTGAGGACTGGAATCCTCATGGACAGCAATGCTGGGATTGATTAGTGATGTCTGCTGTGGGTACTGACTGGTGGGGGGTGGAGGGCAACGAGAGAATAGGTGTGGACTCCACTGTGGGAAGTGATGGCCTCCGTCTTCCCAGCTTGTCTGGGAGGTGGAATTAGAGGAAAGAAACCCCAGTGCTCAGGGTTATGTACCCACGTGCATTGTAGTTTCTGATCTTGGAGTTCGTCTGAGATCCTGGGCCTTGACATGCTGCCCTTCAGATTTGGGGTATCTTTGGTCATAGTGAGGACACTCCCAGACCTGTCCCCTCTGCAGGCTGCCTCTGGGAAGGCTGGTTTTGGGCGGGAGCACCTCGTGGAGCAGTGGGTTAGAAGTTTGCACCCAGCTTGCCTTGGCAGAGCCCTGCTTGCCCTGTGGACAAAGGTGAGGCCACCCTGGTCAGCTGCTGGGTGCCCCGCTATCCTGCTACCCCTTCAGCCCCTGCCCCCAAGGTCTGAGCGCCATCTGATGGCAGGATCGGATTCACGTTTAATGCAAGCTGGACCCCATGACCCTCAGGAGGCGCTCACTGCTTTTCCCAGGTCAGCTGGAGGTGGGGAGCCTGGCCTCACTGGGCCGCAGACTCGGCCACCTGCAGTGAGTCTCGTTCCCGTGGGCGCCGCCAGTAGGATTTCACGTTCTCTGCCCTGCCTTATGTACGTCCCTGAAGGTCTTCTGCCTTCCTGTTTCCTGGCTTGTGTGCAGAGAAGCCCCCTCTGATGATTACTGTCACATGGCACAGAGTTCTGGATGACCCACGTTGGACTCTGGGAGACCGTGCTGTTCAGAGGCTGGTTCTGCCCTCAGGGTGGGGTAACCAAAGCTGGGGTCATCGAGCTGGTGTCTTCTGACCACAAGCTGATGTCTCTTGGATGCCCTGGGGGGCACTGACTGTCCCCTCTTTCAGTTTCAAATAGTATTGGCCTCCAAGCCTTTGTCTCCGTGAGAAACAGGCTGAATTCACGGTTGAGTTGGGGCTCAGGTTTTGGTTAAGGGGAGCAGGGCTGCTGGGGGTCTTCTGGTCTGCAGTGCTCCTGGTGCCTCCCGTCCTGTTCCTCCCCATCCCAGCCGGGTCCTGCCCTGGGTTAGACCCATATGACAAAGAACACGTGCTCACGTCTCAGATAAACCCTTGCAGCTCTGGTGGGGCTCATGTTTTCTGTGGCTGTGGGGGCTCTGGTCACCCCTCTGCACTCTGGCTGGGCATGGGGTGCAGGGTCCTCAGCCCTGCTGGACCCTGGAGTCCCCCAGGGCTGTACAGGAGTCTGGGACACCTGGAGTGGTATCACTGCCCCGGGGAGGTGGGAGGAGGCTACTTTGCTCAGGGGAGCCCTGTGGCTTGGGTCAGGCTCTGAGGAGGGGCCTGTGCATCCACAGGCCGGGGAGCCCTGGCCTGGGTGTCAGCGAGAAGCTGAATGGAGGCAGCTGGTCTGGAGGAAGGGGGCAGGCCCAGGGGGAGAAGGAAGTGGGGTGCCCACTGGGGAGGGGCTGAGGGTGGGGCAGGGTGGTGTGGGTGCCTGTGGGCTCTGAGCTGCACACGCCAAATAGCAGGGCCTTGGCTCCTAGTCTTTGATGGCCCTGGAGTGTGGGCGAGGCAGGGACCTGGGTGGGCACCCAAGCCCCAGCCTGCCTGGGAGGCCTGAGGCCTGCCCAGCTAACACTAGCAGCCTCCACGTTGGGGGGGTCTCACTTGCCCCCTGCCCAGCTCAGGGCCATCAGCTGCCCCGGGCCTCTGAAGGTGAGCTCCTCCCAGGTCCTTTACTGACCAGGAGGGGTGGTGAATGGGTGGGGGCCGCCTCCTCTCCCATTGAGCTTCCCCGTGGAGCCCCCCGTCCCCACTGGGGAGCCCCTGGAAGGACACAGTTGCCATTTCTGGGGCTGGGGGGCGGGGAGGGCAGGAGTTGGCTCGTGTTTAATAACAGCACGGAAGCAGCTGCAGACTTTGGGAAAAGTTGCAAGATTCTTCCGGAATCAGTGGAGGGGAAGTTGTGGTTCCAGGGCTCTTCGCCCTCTGTGCTTTAGGGAGGGCCTGCAATAGAGAGCACACTGGGATGGGGTCACCACGGGTTCCTGCTAGCTGGCGCTCACCGCATTCACGGTCATTCTGAGCCTCCGGTTCGGTCCCTCGGGCCATGTGACCTCGGCACTCTTGAAGGTCAGCCCGTGACTGTGTAGGAAGGTCCCTGGGTTGGGTTTATGTGAGGTGTCCTCATGAGCTTGATTCTGCGGTTTTTGTAGGAATAGCCCAGAAGTGCATCCTGGTGGGTGGTGTGAAATTTCGCTGGTGCCCACCCTGTCGCTTGGTCGGTGGCGGCTGCCGGGCTGCCCAGCGTAAAGTTGCTCCTTCTCCCTTTGTGATGAAGGGGGTGCTTTGAAGCTATGTGCGCACCCACCTCACCAAACTTCCTTCAGCTTCTTCTCCCTCTTGCGTTCGTCTGCGCACACCATGCTTCCTTCCATTCGGTGGGTCATGTGTAGGCTGTTGCTGTATTTTATTTCATGCTCCAATTCTCCCTTGGCTAGTGGGAACAGCTTCATCTAGCTTTTGTGTCCCTTTGCTAGGTACCTGCCATCTTTTGAATGCTTCTTTGCTTGCTGGTATGCAGATGTTCTGGACTCATGTTGCACCTTCTCTGCCCCAGCCCTGGAAGGAGCCGTTGCTCCAAGGGCCCCTCCTCCTTTAAGCAAGAATAGCATCTAGGAACCAAGGTATAGATATGATGTGTGCTTATTGCTACTGGGGTGTTGGTGTACCCAGGTTCTCTTGGTGGATAGAGCTAGGGAATATATGCATGCATATGTGACCGTCTGTCCATCTATCCATCCATTGGCTTGTTCATCCATCTGTCCATTGGTCCATCTGTCCATCCCTCTGTCCGTTGGTCCATCCATCCATCATCGATCCGTCCGTCTGTCCATTGGTCTGTCCGTCCATCCATCCAACCATCCATCCATCTGTCCGTTCATTTGTCCGTTGATCTGTCCATCCGTCTGTTGGTCCATTCGTCCGTCCGTCTGCCCATCCATCCATCCATCCATCCATCCCCCATCTGCCCATCCATTCATCTATCCTTTGGTCTGTCTGTCCATCCTTCCATCCATCTGCCCATTCATCCAGCTGTTTATCTGTCCATCCGTCCATCTGTCCATTGGCCTGTCCATCCACCCATCCAATCTATTGACAACTATGAGATCACAGTACTACCTCCATTTTCAAACCACCACAAGGCACATCTGGTTTTCTGCGTGGTTGTAAGCCCTTTTTTTCTGAATGGTTCCCATTCCCCTTCATCTGTGCTCTAACTTGATTAGTTTTCCTGTAAATACTCCTCTCCCATCGCCGTTGCCACCCCCTCCCCACAGAGATGCCCTCCTCACCCCACAAGGGCGCCCTTTGGATGCCCTCCAACTACAAACCTCCAGGAAAGAGCTTTCTAGATGGAGAGATGGTACTGTCAGCCCTTTAAAATTAGGAACAGCAAAATTAGAACCTGGCCAGCTCAGCTCATTACAACCAAATAAGTTAAAAAAGTAAACATTAGAAGAAATGTTTCTCTTTATTCACAAATAGCATGATTGTCCATATAGAAAGCCTAAAGTTATTAAACAGTAATTCAGCAAAATGGCTTGGTATAAGATTAATACACTGAAATCAATTGCTTTTCTAAACATGAGCAACAAACTGATGTTTCTTTTAAAGGATACCAAAAAAAGTACTATTTACATGAGAGTAAAATCTTCAAGGTCATTAAAGATACATTGAACAAGAGATGTTCAAGGCCAATATGCAGAAAACTAAAATGTCATTAAAGTCCAGGACTGTGGACTTGAGGGGAGCATGCTGGGTATCCAGTTACCGCATGGTGGCCTCGGACACTCCGCGATTACCTGCTCGTGGCTCTGTAGGCCGGGCTTCGCTGGACCCTCTTCACGGCGGGGTTGGGGCTGTGCTCCACCTGGGTTCTCTGGGAAGAGACCTTGCCTATGCTCATTCACGTCATCAGCCGAATTCTGTTTCCAAGGCGAAAGGGCTGAGGCTGTAGGTAATAGGACTTGACGTGACCCCATGTCCTTGTTGGCTGTCCACGGAGGGCGGCTCTTAGGAACTGGAGGCCGCCTGCATTCCCTGCCACGCGGCCCCCAATCCTCAGTCAGCAACAGAGGACCTGCTGCGGATCCCCAGGAAGAGCCCTGACCCCTTATGGACTCACCTGATTAGGTCAGGCCCACCAGGATACTCACCCTTTCCTGAAGTCAGCTGTGTCGTAGATTGGCACCCAACCCCAGGAGTGACTGGCATCATAGTCACGGGTCCACCCACTGCCCGGCGGGAGGAGCGTATACAAGGGTGAGGGTCACTGGGGATCATCTCAGAATTCTGCCTACCACGGTTGTGCTGGTCATGGCCAGAAAAAGTTGATGGTGTAAACGTGTCCGTCTTCTCCCAGTTAATCCATAGATCTGTTAAAATGTTAAACAGCGCTAATTTCTTTGACAAAGTTTGATCAGCTGATTGAAAAATTTACATGAAACTTATATGCAAAGATAGCCGTGTCACTTCTATAGGACAGCATGGTTGAGGACAGCGTTCTGGACTCACGGTGAAGCTACGGTGACCAGGATGGGCTGACCCCGGTGTAGGGGCCAATGGAGGGATGGAATGAAGAGCGCAGAAATGCCAGCAGCGAGGGGCTGGGGCAGCTGGGAGGCCCCGTGCACTCCCGGGGGCCAGAGTGGCCTCGGTCAGCATCCGCGTGGGCTTTCTGCCGGGCGCCCGGCAGGTGCAGAGCTGTGGTGGCCGTGGCCGAGCTGGCAGCTGGATGGGGTCCAGGACCTGGGTCGGGTCTGTCGCTGGGACCTGGGAGTGGGGTCTCAGCTAGCTGTTTGGGGCCTTTCATGTGGTCTCGTCCGCTCGGCACAGCAGGGAGGAATCTTGTCTTTCACCTAAACAGCTGGATTTTGGTTTTCTGCCTCAGAGATAATTGGTGGTTCTTACTATTAAAAGGTTAGAACAATTCATTGTTTTTCTAAAAAAAAAAAAAAAGTGGAAGGCAGGCGCACCGCGCTGCTCTTAAAAATCGAAGAAGGGGGCGTGGGGCTCCACAATGCCCCTCACATCAAAGTGGCCAGCAGACGCCATGGGCAGGGTGCGGGCAGCCCAACCCCAGCCCGCTGATCGCACCAGGGGCCCCGGCCATTCTGGAAACACAATTGGAGCTGCACCAGGGCGGCGGGCCCACACCTGCAGGGACCTGTGCAGCCTGGCTGTGGCCCTGGGTTTGACAGCAGTTGGCTAATCCGCGTCTGGGCCCCGGCAACACCTGTCGCCAGATGAGCCAGACCTGCCTTACCCACCTCCCTGGCCTTTCCTTTTCCCTCTCAGCTACCGGGCAGGTGGATGGGGGCCCGCTAGCACTGGACTCGGTGGCGGAAGAGACCATCCCGTAGCCGGAGGCATGGGGCCAGCAGCTCTCAGAATCCCCTGGAGGAGGCTTGTTCAAATAGCGTGGGACACCGCCCAGGCGATCTGATTTGGGTGACCTGGGGTGGGGGGGCTAGGAACCTGCTGTTCTGGTACGTTCCTAGGGGATGCTGCTGTGGGTCCAGAGACCAGGGCTGGAGAACAGATGGCTTGGGCAGAGTTAGCTTTTCTCCCTCCTTGTTTGCTTGTTTCCCCCATTGTTGCTGTTGGTGAATTGTACAATACTTCGCGGGGGCAATTATAGAAAGGACCCCTTTCTGAGTGGTCCCCTGTGTGCAGAGGAGTCAGGAAAGGTGCTGGCTTCTCTCCAGGCGGGCAGAGTCCAGGCAGCACGTTGTGCTCCTTGCCGTCCCACCCACTTTTCTGTTGCATGGATTCTGGGTCTGTGCGCAAACTGCGCAACTGGACATGGAGAACCTGGCTGGACCCCAAGCCAGATGAGAGCCCTGCCCAGGGTTGGGGGAGTGGGTGTGGCGGGCAGGGACACCAACAAGGGCCCTGGTCCTGCCTCCATGGGGGTCCCACCACCCTCCCCTAGCGACATGATCCTACGCTCGCTCTCCTTGCTGTCCCCTTGCCTGGTGGGGCAGTGGATGTTTTCATTCCTTCCTCTGTCTGCCAGGCATGGATGTAAAGTGAGATGAAAACAGAGAAGGCTGGGGCCAGGAGCAGGAGGGAGAGGCTGCACATACGCCCGGGAAGGACCCATTCCTGCTGCAGGCCAGTGCGGGGCTCCCCGGCAGCCTTTGGGACAAAGGGAACAGGTTTCTGCCGGAGGAGGCCCCGGGCTGCTGGTTGGTGGGAGGCCCGGCAGGGGTGGAGGCATGCTGGGTGGGGCTGGGACCCATAGCCTCGCTGTTGTCATCTTGTTTCCAGGTCTCGTTTTGGGGGCCCCACGATTGCAAAGGAGGTGGGGGGCTGCTGGCCCTGAGGGAGCTGATGTGCTGACCCCAGTGCCTTTTCGAACTTCAGACCTGTGGTTCCATCTCGGAGCTCCTTGTAGGTGGGGAAACTGAGGCACAAGATGATTTTTTTTTTTTTTCCTTTCTTCTTTTAGGAGCCTGTGCTGACAGGCGGCAAGGCGGAGTGTGCACCCAAAGCTGTCATGAAGGCAGGTTCCCTCAGCCCCGAGGAGCCCCGTGCCAGGCTTGACAGAACCTTGGTTTTTATCTGACAGGCGCTGACGTGCGTCTTGCTCAGCACACAGCACGCGGTCCGTTCCGGCTCCCTGGCTTTCACGGCTGTCCCAGTTCGGAACATGGAAGCACAGTGTGCTCCGCTGCTCAGTCTGGAAGTCCTTACCCGTGTCCCACCACTCCCATGCAGGGGAGGAAGGAAGATGTGTGAGGGCAGCCCAAGGGCCTTCGGGTCGAGGTGGCGGGTGGTGTCCCCGGATGGTGTGCAGAACTGAGCGGGGTGGGAAGAGGAGGGCGGTCTCAGCGAGGGATGGCGCCCTGCGGGGTCCTGGTGGCACCTCGGGGTTGCAGTCACGCCCCCCCCGGGCCTCTTGCTTCCTGTCCGGCCCACCGGGGCCCGGCCCCCACAGCGGGACCCCGGGGAGAGGAGATCTGGGGCAAAAGGCGCAGTTTCCCAGGAGGGGACCGTGTTCAGAGCAGACTCTGGGTTCTCTCTGGGTTTGTTGGCCGCTCGTCTGCTGGGCCCCCCCACTGGGCCAGCACCTCCGGTGACAGGGGCTGTGCCCGTCTGCGGGTATGACCCTTGCTGCTGGAGACCCTTCGGACCGGTCTCCACACGGCTCCATCACAGTGCCCCCTCGCCCCCGACGTGACCCGCCTCTGGTCCCGGGAAGCCTCCGGTGGTCCTTGCCCCATGGCTGGAGGCTGGGGTTGCTGCCCTGCTGTGCTGGCCTCGGTCACTGTCCCCAGCAGCCCTCAACGTGACCCCGAGCCTGGCACGGCACGTCGTGTTGGCAGCTGGGGGGTGCGCCACGGTGGCGAAAGCCCTACCCCTTTCCCCTCTGGGCACTTTCCATCTCCTGGGAGCGAAAGGGCTTCCGAGCGGGGGGCGGGTTTTTATCCATTTCCTTGGTCACTTCTGTTCACATCGGAAGGGCTCTGTCTTGGGATGTCACGCCTCTTGTGTCCAGCCGGAAGGTCACTGATAGCATCCCGCTGCCGTGTGTTTGCTCAAACCTGTTGATCTTTCCTCTCGATGGCGCCAACGTGGGTGGCTTGTCCCTTTGACTGGGTTGCGGTATTTCAGACTCTCCTGCAATGACTTCTACACTGAGAAAGGTGTTTAAGGGAAGGACAGGACGTCTACCATGCACCCCCATGCCCTGGCGGGAAGTGGACTGTGGAAAAAGTCGGCACGAGCTGCTTTAAAATAACCCGGAAAGTTCTTGATTGGACAGACGGTTGACATTTGTCACCCTGTGGTGCCCTCGGGCAGCTGCCGAATCCGTGACCCCTTCTTAGAGAAAGGTCTTCGAGCTGTAACCTAAAACATGTGGAAATACAAGGAGAATAATTGTATTGAAAAACTGCTAACACAATATTAATAAATCCAAATGTGGGACAGAGGAGATCCACAGCCTGCCCCCAGTTTAAAACAACATTTTGAGACGTGGGCACGGGTGGCCACGTGATAGGAAGGCAGCTGTGATTTCTGCTCGGGAAGGGCAGGAGGTCTCATTGATCTCTGGTTCGTGGCCTGGTCCATGCTGTGGTTTGCTTTTCCCACCCAAGTCCCCAGGTCCCCGGAACCACGGAGGTCCCTGTTGATTTCCTACTGGGACTCCCTCCCCCCCCAATCTTCCCTGAGTCATGGGGGCACTCATAACTTAGTTCTGACTTCGGCCAAGGCTGGGGGCGGCGGCCCCACCCTGCTGCCGGGAGGCCTCCCTGGCGCCCCCATCAGAATGAACCCCCTCCTGCTCCCACCACGTTTTCTGTCTGTTCCAGCACTGACCGGACCCATGTCACAAGTGGCTGGGGGCCTGTGAGCACCCAGGGTCCTTGAGGGTCTCAAGCCTCCTCCATCCCAATAAATGAAATAAATCCCAACGGACGTGACACCCAATCCAACCCAAACTGAGACTGTAGCGCGAATGGATCTGCAAGTCAAGAAGGGACGTTTTGTGGTTTCATTTCAGTGGCTTCCAAATGTGGGCTGCATCAGAACCCCCGGGAGGCTTGTGGAACCCAGATCACTGGGCTCCACTGGAAGGTCTGATACAGCAAGCCTGGGGAGGCCCGCCTGGGAATGTGCATTTGTAGCCTGTTCCCAGGTGATGCTCACGCTGCTGGCTAGGGGCCGGCACTCACTGGGGGTGCCCCTCCCCCTGTACCAGGGGATCAGTGGAAGCCCCCCAAAGTCCAAGTCCAACCCCCGTGCCTGTGAATGTGAGCTTACATGCAAAGAGGGTTTGGCAGGTGTAATTATGTTAAGGATCTTGAGATGAGATTCTACCGTCTTTAGAGTGGGCTCTAGATAGAATAACAGGCGTCCGTGTAAGGAGAGAGCACAGATGTGGGAGGGCCCGCGTGACCACGGAGGCAGTGGTGGGAGGGATGGGGCCACAAGTCCAGGGACACCTGGAGGCTCCAGATGCTGGGGCAGGAGGGACCCTGCCCCAAAGCCTCCAGAGACAGCGCCCTGCCCACACTTTGATTTCTGACTTCTGGCCAGAAGTGGGGGGGAATCCATTTGTTGTTTGCAGTCATTTGTCACAGCAGCCCCAGGACACTCACATAGCCCCTGACCAGTGCCAATTGGTGGGGGCGCTTGTTTTTGCTGAGCTCCACGAGGCCTCAGGTGACAAGCTCCAGACCCGTCCAAGGGGACCAGCACTCACGGGAAGAAGCAGCGTGAGCCACGTCCCGCTCCGGCTTCCTGCTCTTCTCCAGGAGGAGACCCAGAGCAACTTCGAGAACACACCTAGGCCAGCACTGCCCGGGTCCAGGGCTCTCGTTAGGGCTTTGGTCCAGGGACTGCCAGAGAGGGCATCTCCTTGGGCTTGTTTGGAAGCGGAGGCTCTAAGCGAGGTCTGGCAGGGGAGGCCAGATTTGTAGTGACTTTCCTCGTGGCCATGGCACGATCCTAACAGCCCAAGGCGGGGCTCCGTGGGGAGGCATGCGGACACATGGTGGGCAGTGATCCAGCCACCCAAGGGGCCACCAGCCATCTCGGAGTGGCCACCCGTAAGCCAGTGTCCTGGGGGGGCGCTCCACACTGACAGGTGTTCTGATCGACAGCAGAGCGTAGGTGGGCTTGGAGGTCACAGGGCTTGGCCCCAGCTCTGCGGAAACCCGCTCTGTGGCGGCCCCTTCTCTCCTCTGCCCTTAGTGTCATTAGTAGGACCCGAGGTGGAAGTAGCCTCGAGGGGCTGTGGGCCTCAGAGAGCGCGGGGCAAGAAGGAGGGAAGCCCCTAGACGGGGCCAAGCAGCACTCCCCACCCCCCTGGAGGAGGTGTGCACAGAGAGGCAGCACCTACGTGCAGACCCATCACCCGAGGATGGGCTTCGATGCCCCAGCTGGGGAAGGGCTTCCTGTGGTCCTGGCTGTCAATCCCCCGGACACCTGCGAGCCAGCTTCAGTGACAGGAAATGCAGGTTCTTCATGCTGCCCCTGCTGGCAGTGGGCTGGGGGCCCCAGAGGTGATTTGCATACAGGTGAGGGCCCAGGACCGAGGCCCTGGGTGCCCAAAGGCAGGGCCAGGTAGGACGCACACACCTAGAGGGAGGCCGCCGGGTGCACACGCAGTACCGGGTCTGGCCAGCGGGGGGCAGCAGAGCTCCAGCAGCCGGTGTCCCGTCGGGCCGGGCCTGGACCGACCTTCCCTCCCTAACTCCAACCCCAGGCCAGGGGGCACAGGGGCACTTACCCCGTCTGGAACTGCCCTCCCGTCTCTGCAAAGGCGTGTCCTCCTCCCACAGACCTCCTCGACCCCCCAGGCCCGTGCTGGGGACGTCCTCCGGCTGCCCCAGCCTCGGCTGCCTCCGCAGGGTGCTCTCATCACTCTTTTAAGTGGCCTAAGGGACACGTGGGACCTGTGTGCGGCAGTGTCCTGGGCCTGCTGAGTCCGCACAGACATTTGCCGAACTCTGGGTTCCGGCATGGAGGGCCACCTGGCTTGTTGTCAACTGGGCCTGGGGCTCAAGCACCATCACGCCTGGTTAGCAGAGGGACGGGGCTGAGTGGTGAGTGTGGCTACTCTGGTCCCCGAGGTGCCAGACAACAGGCGGTCCAGGAGACCCTGGGGGGGCCTGACGATAGTCCGGCTGGCTCAGCTCCTGTGGGTGGGAGGGGGCGCACCCAGGCCCTGGAGGAGTGGGCTCAGGGGTACCTAAGACGTAGCTAGGACGACAGGCCCTGAGGAAACTAGGGGACAGATCCCCTCTCTTTTCCGTCCAGAGCCGGCCCCTCCTGTGGCCAGGGGCTGCAGGGACAATGACAAGGAGGGGAGTGGAGGGGGCCTAGAGCCACATCCTTGGAAAAAATGACCAAGTAAGCCTCTGGTGCTGGGCCGGCCTCAGAGCAGACCCTGAGGGACCCCTGGCTTCCGCTCCCTCTGTGGGGCAGTATGCCATGCATGTCCATGCATTCTCATCTCTGCTTCACAGGGGGCAACTGAGGCTCAGAACATTCTGGAAGAGCCCCTCCTGCCCCAGCCCCCATGCATGTCTGGGCTGCCTGCTTCCAGAAACCCAAGTGCTGGCCGCTGTAAAGGACCAAAGAAATTACAGTTATTTCAGGATCTGCCCGGGTCTAAGAGCCATCCCAGTGAGGACAGGGAGACCAGTATTAGCTCAGAACCGGGGGCATCTTGTCACCATCGGAGTGTCTGAAGGCGGCGTGTGGCGATGGGCTTGTGGAAAACGGGCGGATTCTCATTCCAGAGCCCCAGGCGGGCTGGCTGCAGGCCGGGGCCGGCCGACATGAGGCCAGCTTTCGGGCTCGAGGAAGGCCTTGCAGGCCCCTGCTCTGGGAAACAATCTCACTCTGATCAGATGCCTTTGGCATTTTTTTGAGATGAAAAGAATGTGTTTGGGGGCACTGGGGACCCGATGGTCCTGCTTTCCACTGGGCACATAGTTTTGCCGCATAACTAAAAGGCAGTGACTCGGCTTGACCACACGGCAGTGAAGGTATGCAGGATGGGCTGGCTCTCTGCTCCGAGCCTGGCGGCGGCGGCATCAGCCAGCAGAGGGGAACTCCAGGCCGGACACGGAGGGGTGCAGGAGGAGAGAAGGGTCCTCCTGGCGGGAGGGCCACGCTCGGCTGGCTGCGAGCAGGGAGCACGCCCCAGAGCGGCCACCCTTCAAGGCTCCAGGATCTGTGCTCCTCGGTGGAGCCTTCTGGCGCCCATTTTTCTCTTTTTTTCCCCCTGGAACAAAATTCAGCCACATCCCCAGTTTACAGATAATGTGGCAGGAACAGGATGTACACGTGTTGGGGCAGGGGAATGACCGGCATGGCCCCTGCCCCAGACACAGGGGGCTGGGGTGTCGTACTAACTTCCTGGGGCGGCCGTGACAAGGTGCCACCGACGGGGTGACTTCAAACAACAGAGATTCGGTCTCCCCCAGTCTGGAGGCCAGAGAGAAATCCGAGATCTCGGTGTCAGTAGGGCCTCTGGAGGCTCTAGGGGAGGGTTCTTCCTGCCTCTTCCAGCTTTGGGGGGCCCTGTCCCCGCAACCCCCACCTCTGTGGCCACATGGCCCCCTCCCCTGCGTGTGTCTTTCTTCTTATAAGAACACCGGTTATTGGATTAAGGGCCCACCCTCCTCCAGTGTGAAGACCCTACTTCCACAGAAGTTCACACTCAGGTTCCAGGTGGATGTGAATCTGGGGGGACATAATTCCACCCCGCAGAGGGGTTTTCTCTCGGATGAGCATGCACCAGCAGCAACTCTTCTTCTGGCTTCTCATGGTGGGCGCCTCAACCCAGCCATGTCTCCAGTGGCCCCGTCCCGGACATTAGGAGGACAGAGAGCAGAAAGGGTGCAGGAACCAGGGGACAGCAGCGGGGGTGCACAATGGTGACCCGTTTGGGTTCCAATCTTGGTCTTGCCAGTTGGTAGCTGGCCTCAGGTGAGTTACTGAACCCACTTGGGCCTCGGGGTCTGCGTCTGTGAAATGGGTCTGTTGCTCCTCCCCACCGGACTGGTGTTGCTTGCCGATTCTCTGAAGCAAATGGGAAGGACAGAGAAGAGATCCTTTGCATGAGACCGGGAGCAGGGTCTTTGGGAACAGCTGAGGGTCCCAGTGCTGCCGCCCACTGGCTGCATAAACCCAGCATAAAACCTTGGTTGCTTTCTCTGCAGAAGGGGGTCGTCCCTACCTGGCCGGCATGCAGTGAGGAAAGGTGAGAGGCGAGCACGGGGCTAACCGTCCGCACAGCTCAGCCCCGCCTGGTGTGTGACCCTGGGCCCCCCTTGGAGATGGTCAAGGAGAGTCTTGCAGATTCTGTTCCCTCTGTCCGCCTGCCGACTTCGTCCCCAACACAGGTTTTGTTGGCATTGTTCGTGGCCAGTGCCATCAAGACAAACCTGGGGCACGATTCTGATTATCAGCCACATCTGGA